TGTTTTGCTCTTGTTCTAATCCATATCTCACAGCAAGAAATAAGTAAGTTTTCTAGTTATTTTTTTAGTTACTGCTTTAAAACCACAACATTTATTTGGTGCTTTGGCCGGGAAACAAATTTGGCAAATCTAAACCACTACAGCTGGCCACCTTCGCAGGCATGGTGAGGCAAAAAGCCTCCTCTCCAGCATCCATTTCAGTTCATGTTAATTTTGTGCTTTTTATTGTTTGTACCCTTTTACACACCTTGGCCTGCAGGGGATAAAAGGTTAGTTCCCTGTTAGCCCAGCAGCATTTGTAAAGAGATTTCATGGGGCAGAGAGCTGAATTAAAAACCTCCAAAGAGATCAGATTCAAAGCCCCAACTCTTAGTCCTGCTGCTTTGCTCTGAAAACCTGTTTTTGACTCACAATAGGCTTGCTAAAGACTAGAGCAGAAGTCACAATAGCCACTAGGAGAGGTGAGGAGCCTCAGTATCCCACCAACAACCAGTGGACTATACATACCTTCTCAAAGACTGGGAAGTATCTATTTGTCGCCTTGTCCATCATATTAGCAAAATGCTGCTCTTTTTTGTCTGCTGGTTGGTAGCCATATGTCATGAGTAACTCATTCAGATCAAACATTCCTTCCACGTACATATCGATTCTGAAAGGAATAGATCCACTTGGTCAGGTCAAACACAAGTAGGTGTGAACAGCACAATTACTCCTCACATAACCTCTCTGAGATGCTGGGAAATCCCAGCCTCTTCTTTCCCACATATACAAACCCAGGCAAAATTCCCTTGGGAATGGAGGCATATGGGGACTTTGGGTGAAAGACAAATGCAAAATTCTAAGGCAAAAGCTAAAGACTGTACACTCTCAATTCTCACTAGGACTGATACTTCTCTTGCTGTGGGTCTTTCAACCCAAATCTGACAAAACCAAATTTGACAAAATTGTCACATATGTTATCCAAACATTTAACGTTTCTGATAAAAATCCTATCAGACAGGATAACTTTAACAACAGGTCCATACAATTTCTAGCAAATATCATAACATGTGTTTACCAGGGCTTACTAATTTGAAGCACTCAAAAATACCTCAGGTCAAAACATGTGCCCTAGGAGTCCTGTCCTTTCATTGCCTGTTATTAATTCTAATTCTATACTAATTCCTAGTTATTAGAGAGAGGAGTGATTTTGTTTCCTTCAAAGACACTGCCCTGAATGTGATGAGGAGAAAATGACACTGTTGACAACTGCAGGAGAAAATGAAAAGCAGCATCAGTAAGACAGTCTGCCCCACTGAGCGCTTTCTTCTGATGACTGCATTGATCTCTGATTGATGATTTATGGGCTCACATGCCCTGTATAATCGAGCTGGCTACCACTGCTGTAGACATCACCTGCAGTCAGAGCCATCTCATGCTGCACAAAACACTGCTCTGCCCCCTGAACCTCGCTGTGAACTGGGGTATCCTCGTGTTACACTGAGCTACAGTGTGAGCTGGGCTCTAACAAGCAAAGGTGGTAGTGTCACAGTACAGGGCTCTCTCCTTCAGGTCCTTCCCACAGAGGTTGTACTTCGTTGCTATGTAGTTGGCAATGGCTCTGGTCTGCACCAGCTTCATCCCGTCCATCTCTACCATTGGCACTTGCTGAAAGAGCAGGGATCCATCTGAGGGAAAGGGAATAACACAAGGAGGTGTTCAGTCCCTGCATGACAACCACAAGTGTGTGTTAGGCAAAGGAACCACATGGATTACTTTTTATTTAGAATCTGAATCATTTAGGTTGGATAAAATATATTTAGACCAACAGTGGAACCTTTCAGATTTGAGGAAACAGCCAAATGCAGAACTTTAAGCTGTCATATACTGAAAAATACGTGCACTGCTGTAATTAATACAGTTATGAATAAAAATTCGTAAAGACCTAAATAAATATATCTGTACTTACAATAACATGAGAAAATATAAAATGGAAAATACAGTGTGGCCAGAAAGTCTTTTCCCAGATCTAGTCGCGAATTCCCATTCAGGAGATAACAATACTAGCAGAAACCCCGATAAAGATCCTAGCCGGCGCCCATCAACTGAAAAGAATGGGCAGGACACGGGCCATCAAGCTAACAAAGAAACGAGCTCGGAGGAGATACCCATCTCCGGACCTGAACACCCCACCTGGCCGACCACTGTTGGGGAAGCAATAAGGTTGACAAAGGAACGAGCTCGGAGGAGATGCCCATCGCCGGACTTGAACACCCCACCCGGCAAACCACTGTTGAGAAAGCAATCAGACTGGACAAAGGGAAAAGCCCAGCCGAGATATTCATCGGCTCCAACCCGGATCCCACCACTCCATCCTGATGGCCCGAACCAAAATGAAATCAAGAATCTCTTTACATATGAGGAGTCTCTGCCCGGACATCTTTTAACTCTATTCTCCAATGCCAGGAAATCCATTCACCCAACAATCAAGGACCTTTGGTGAATGGTGCCTGCTTGGAATTTGGCCTCAGGACACAAAATCCCTATAAAAACCCAGACCTGAAACCCCTCGAACGTGGATTTGGGTAAATCTGTACCTCTGGGTATAGACCCCTGTCCACCCAGCACTGCGCTGATCAATTTTATTGTGGTTTTTTTCTCCCGTTTGTAATTGAAATTGTTTTATAATAAATCGCTGTCTATATTAATCATATTTTGCCGTTGCATTTATAACAACTGCATATCCCTAAATCAGGTGATTTTCATGGAGGTTAATGAACAGATGGGAAGGACTGAAGGATCTGACCCAGACACTTTCTCTCATGATTTATAAAGAAATATATTTGGACTTTCTAGGCACTGGCTAACACGCAAGGTGGTGAATAATAATGAAAATAAATAAGAGTAAACATAAAAGCTTGAACTGCCTTTGTGACTACCTTATTAACTTTACAAATGACATCTCATCTATACAGACATGAAATCAGAACAGTGAGAGAGTTCCATGAGATTCCTGCAAGACCCAAATATCAACTGGCATGAGGATGGAGCCATGACCCAAATATCAACTGGCATGAGGATGGAGCCATGCAACTCTTTTGCAAGCTTAGAATCCTTGTCCTAGCATGATACCTTCAGAGAGGTATCTCTTTCAGATCAGAGAAGCAGGGAAGTGTTTTTGCATTAGAGAATCATATTTCTAGACTAAGATAACTGATCAGCTATATCCCTTTTTGTATCCTATGTAAGACAATTATGCAGGGACACACTCTGCTAGTAAGGTTGCATTTACCTTTATGCTGTGTCCCAAAATACTTTTTGAAAGGCAGCCTGTAGCACAGGTATCAAGACATTATTCCTAAAGGACAGCAGGACTGCAAATGCTACCCCTAGCTCAGATTTCTTTTGACAGGCCAGGTGAAGAGCACAGACATGTAATTTGGACTGGAGGAAACATGATTATCATGTTCAGGAAGATGGAAGCTGAAGCTAGCACAGTGGGTAGTTGCCTTGGGAGAGAGGAATGCAGCTGAGGTACAGGCAAACTCAGAAATCTGGAACTCCCTTTTCATAAGGATTATAAAACAACAACTTTGTAGGCAACCTAAAATGCTAATGAATTTCAAGAGGATCTGATGACAAAAGCCTCTGTTGCCATAGGATGGAGGGCAATGGACACAAGCTGAAGCAAAGGAGAGACAACCATCTGAACTTAACGAAAGGCTCTTTGACTCTCTGGATTGTCCAGAGGAGCTGTACATTCTCCATCCTTGCAGATACTCAAACCCAGCTGGACATGGTCCTGGAAAACTGGCTGGAGGTGGCCTTGCTTGAAGAAGGCATGTGGAATAGACAGTCATGAGAAGTCCCTTCTGACCTCAGCCCTTCTGTGATTCAGTGAAGACTGAAGCAACTGGGTGGGGGATACCAGCTAACACACTGCAGTGTGCACCTCTGGGACCTTGTGTACAATCCAGTTAAGAGATCTTCTTTTCAAGACACTAAGACTTAAGAATTGTTAGGTGTTCTCAGACAACTAATTCTAATTCTAATTCTAATTCTAATTCTAATTCTAATTCTAATTCTAATTCTGATTCTAATTCTAATTCTAATTCTATTTCTTACTATTACTACTCTTGCTGCTGTTACTATTTTAAAGTGAAGGAAACTTACCCTTCTGTAACTTTGTTAGATCCTCCTTTTTTTCTAGGTAAGATTCTTCAAACTGCAGGAAATAGAAGAGAAATTTGCTGTCATTCCATGTTTTGGCTTCTTCCTCTTTTAGGTAAAGAAGACTTAAAGAGATGTGTTTTGGGAAATTTGATTTGTTTGAACCATATGTCATATTTGAAAGCTGTCAGGCCCATTGGCCATCACTGTGACAGAAACCCAGGGATCTGGAAACATAAATTCCCCACACAGATTGTGAAACACTCCATCTCTGGTTTAGTATCAGAATCTGTCAGAGGTCAAAAAAATTACTCTGTGGTTTACAATATATGGTACCTTCAGGGGTAAACTACACTGTAGTAGCAATAATAATCTCTTGCTATTTTGCATGTTGGAATTTAACTGAAGGTACTCAGAACTGCAGGTGTTTGACCTCTGGATCAGAAGATAAGAAGCCAGGATCTGCTGCTGGGGTTTTAAATTTCTTCTTTCTCTAGCTACAGGGGAGAAGCATTTGTGGTGCTACCAGCGGGCTTTG